CATAAATTTGAATATCTAGTCGTACACTATTTTGGCATCACCTTTTTGAATTATATGGTAAACAATGATGTCTTCCAAGTATTACACACACACATGTATATATATGGATGTATGTATGTATGTATAAAAGCTAGTTGAACAAGCCAGCTTGCTATCTGTCCCGAAAGGCTCAAGGTCTGTGGAGCCAGCATAATGGTAACCCTTGGCAGTGTTGGATAACTGAGTGTCCCAAGTATGAACCAATTGAAGCTCAAGATGGTAACTGCATCAGAAGCAGGTTTGTTCTTTATGGTGAAGAAAATTTGAATAATGCTTTTTAAGCGACATGCCAACAACAGTGACCCTGGGCGTAAATGGTTGCTCAGATTCGCTTAGTGCATGGTTAGCTTTTAAGAAATCCAACAATCCAGTATTACCCTTGCTCTTACCCCTCCATACTTCTCTGTTCATCATCAGTTCTTGGAAGGAGATGCCGCTTCCCCTATAACTGGAAATCCATGATGAAATACCATAGGGAATGACATGATTCTCAACTGTATTTATACTTTGGCTTTTATATGTCGTATTATGACTTTTAAAGCTCCATGCTGCGTTACCTTGAATTTCTTTCAGCCGAAGGTTTTCACCCTTTAAATCCTGCAACTGATAGGGTGCACAATATATTCAGCATCCCTGCTGAAAGGTACACTGTAGAAAGCATATGAACATGTAAAAATAAGTAGAAAACATGGATTAAGTTCTTCCCATCAGCATGTTAATAAATGAAATAGCAAATTGGAAACTAGTAGAAAAGAATATCAGTAAATCAGGACCAAATTGAGTTTGAGGGTATCATGTTGTGGTTCTAACATTATTGTGTCCATTTCTAAATCCTTTATGGTGTAAATGGCTGATGGTCCATTTTTTAATATGATATTTTTAATAATTCATATAAATATTTGGAAATTTTGGGGGGAGGGAGAGGCTTGTTCTAAAGCCTACTATATTTTGCATCCTACAAAAACTGCGGATTTTGCTGTCTGATTATGGAATTTCTTCTTCTCTATTGGTATGCCCACCAGACAGTTAAATTTACCTCACCCTCTAATATTCAATCTTAGCAACAGCCTTGTCGTGTTCCTGCTCAAGTTCTATTAACATTGACTCCACAATTCTGCGTTCTCTAACAGCTGCTTGAAGATGGTCCTCAAGCTCCTTCCTGTTCCAAACAAGAGTCTCCAACTCAAACTGCATCACATGCAGGTTCTGTTCCAGCTGCAAAACACACCATGCTTCTTATATCAATTATGAATAACACTGCAGATAAAACTTTTAAGCCACGTTAAGGAACTAGGTTTACAATGACTAGAATATTGACATATTGTGTTGTAGGAAAAACTGCAGATGACTAAAGCAAGCATGTACCGAGAGCAGGTAATTAAGTACAACAATCTCACAGTCTAAAGCAACATAAATTTGAATATCAATCTCATCAGTCTCTAGTATGATTAAATAGGCAGAAACTAATTTGCAGATAAAATTTCTAAGCAAAGCTTATAAAAACTAACCACTCTTTCCCTCCGCATGGCAGTCAACACTCATACATGAAGAGATAAAAGAGCAACCGTCCAAATTACAGCTTTCCAGAGCATATTCACATGGAAGGAAACTGCTGCCTTTACCAAATCCATCCAGGTTTGAATAACAATAAAGTTGATTTTCAGACAAAACATGCATGTCGATTTGCAAAGTGAAAATGGCATGATTACCACGATTGTTAGTTTAGTCATTAACTTGGGAAACAGCATCATGGAACCAGCCATATAAACCAGGGTGGCTCCTTCCTTAAAAATCACATGCCTACATGCATAACCTTCGTTAAAGGTTCAGCTTACAGTACTCTGCCTAAAAAGAACCAGTACAGGGCAAGAAAAACAATTGTGTTACACCTTCATTTTGCATAAGATCCAACAAAATTAGGCATACCTTTGTGAAAACAAACATATCAAGTTGTAAGAAACCTTCTCAGAGATAGTTTTCAAAAGTAATGTCATTCCTAAGAAAATTCAGCAAATGATACACCATTAATTGGCCTCTGCAAAAGGGAGACAAGCTACATCGAGAAGCAAAACACAGACAACGGAAGCTATCCAGACACCAAAAATCTATGCGCCAGACAAGCTCCTCTGCACAATATGCATTATACAGCAGCTATAATTGTCGATTCTTCTTCTTTACAAGCTTCACTGGATCAATTGGAGATAAATTTCATTCTCTAAATGAACAAAATCTGATTATATTGATGTAATAAGGCAAACAAATATTAACTATACTTAATGTATCAGTAAAGTTCTAGCAGATAAATATAGTAAAATTTTCAATTGTAGCATCAGACCCACATTCTGACTTGCATAGTTGCATCTATAACATAAGATTTTTATGCTAATTGACGATTTTCTGTTGAGATATTGAACTGTTTACATGAAAACAACTGAAAAATGATATCTTTTTACCTTTTTAACTCCTTTCTCTTTCCCTAGAGTGAATCCTTGTTGATCCTGGATGATAAAAGTAATATTAACTAAGAAAATAAATTAGAGATAAACCAAAGATACATATTTCTATTCTTGTTTATCAAACAGAAAGCAGAAACATTTGTTATGAATAGAATCAAACAGCTGTAGAACTCAACTGATGTATTCAACTTTCAAAGATTTTCCCGAAGGGCTATAGATGAGGTGTGAAGAATTAAAGATTGCACAATGTGTAATGGCATCTCAAAACCAATATACGAGGATAGTATTGGTATCAGTACAAGAGGTGGACAATCAGAAGTCAGAACAAACCCATTTGAAATAATCAACTCAAAAATCAAAATGAGTAAATTTTAATAATGATAATCTAAAACATGAGAATTATGCATTAAGAAAACTACAGTATTGGGTTTGTCTCACATTTCCAAACTATATTTTCTTCTTTTTTCTGAAATGGTATTTCTATTGGTTATGCCAGAAACCAAAAGTGCAAAAATTGCAGTTTAAAATCGTAATCCAAAACCTCAAACAAGAGAAAAATTTTAAATGAGGTAAAGTAATAAACATGGGAAAAAGGTAAAAGAATAAACTGTTAGACGAGATATCAAGGCTCAAAAACCATCCGACCAGATTATACTTTAGGAGCGGAAAAGTTAGTGTTCCCAGGCTTGAAGCATTTACTGACAGTGTAAAAGGATTTTTTTACAACGTTCATTAGGATGTAAAATTAGCACCAAAATTTAAGGGAAAAATGATTTTCTTCTATAATTGTTAGCACGGAAAAAGCAATATTTCAAGTTTGAAAACATGGAAGCAAGGAACTATTTATACTTTATATATATATATATATACGTACGTATATGTATACGAACCAAACTTATACTGAAGCCAGAGCAGCAAGCGCGAAAGAAATGCTTACAGAGAAACAGAGAGCAGAGAGTAGAGCAGTGCTAGATTTCATTAGAATTTACAACTTAGTCGTTTTTGAGTGTTTGGGAGAGACAGAGACAGAGACAGAGACAGAGACAGAGACAAGAGTTGAGTGAGAAGCAAGGGAGAAAGGCGGCAGCAGATGGCGCCTTGATTGACACGTATGTAAGTTGTTTACATGGAATTTATCGAAATAAAGTTTGAATATTATTACTATATTTATTTTGTAATTCTTTTAATTTCGCGAGTGGAGTAAAAGATCCATAAATATCTTATCTTTTTAAATTAATTTTTTATTTTTTAAATATATTGATAATTTTATTTGTGAAGATTGAAGTTTATAAAGTGGATGAAATAAATTTTTTTATAATCATTATATTATTGGTCTTTTTTATTATTATTTTGGGTGCGTTACTATATTGTAGTATTTAATAATATAATAAGTAATATTTAGTAGTAGGTATGTTAGTATTTCATTATAGTAGCATTTAGATAAGGTTTTGATGATGTCTATGTTGCCCCAACCATTTACTCCAACAGTGGTTTTCTTAGACAACAGTTATTTGTTTAAATGGGTAAGAGAGTTTATTGGACTAAACACATAAATCGTAATTATTAGTAGTATAAGGTAACTTACGAGTTTATTAAATAATGGCAGAACTTAGAACGCTGCTGTCCTGCCATTGTTTTGGCTAATGAATCTAATTCAGTGGGGAAGTTGGAAGAATTGAAAGAAAGAAAGTATAGTATTAGCTAGGTGGTAAGTCTTCGGAGTCAAGGCCCTTTTCCCAGCCGCCGGTCGGATTGGGTTGGGTGGAAATAACTCGTATCTTTTGCAAAAGAGAAAAAATGAAACTATTAGGCTGAAAGAGGGGCTAGGTATTAAAAAAAAAAAGAGGTTTCTCTAGTCAGTTCTCACCCTCATATTATTATTATTATTATGGAATTTCGATGCTTTTGGCCTTTTGGATTTGGTAGTGACACGTACATATACTTACCATTCTTTGATGACTTTAGCAAATGCAGAAACCTTTTTTCATATTCACATAGAAAGTTGTGTACCCACCTTCTTCAATGATCAACTTCTTTACGAATTCTTCTTTCTCAATTCTTATTTTACTTAAATTCTAAGGATATAATTAAATTAAAATGCAAAAGAAGCTTTTTTCAGTAATTGCATCATCTAGCTCCTCCTCCTCCTACTACATATTTTAACAGAAATTGACTTGTAGAAGAAAGCCATGTTCACCCAGCTTCCAATAAATTAAGAATATATAAACGCTTCAAATAGTCAGAATGTGGTATTAATTTTTTATAATTATTCATTTTAAAGAAAAAGAAAAAAAATCGAATAATATTAACTTATAATAATAATAATAATCATCATCATTTCACTAACCCTAAATTACTTTCAGTGAAATTAATTTAAGGGAAAATGAAGATGATGATGTCGATGAAAATAAAAAACACTACTCAAGGAAACTGGGGTGGAGAACGGAGAGGCTGAGTTGCTGTTGTCATGCGAACGTGCACGTATGAAAAAGGAAAAAATAAAAATTATTTGGCCTTGGAAGTACAACGTGAAGGAATGTAGGTTCGATTCAAAGGATGGAAACGCAACTTGCAATTGAGACGGCACAAGAACCTAATCGACCCAAGAGGGCCTACTCTCCATCTCACCCTGGTGCTTCCTTTTAAATCGAATGTAACCAAATCTGTCTTCAAAGCCACCTCCACATCCTCTGCTTGTTCAGGATCTAAGGGTATGGGTAAAGATTGAACATCATAATTAAAATCAACCGAACTATTCTTACTTACTTCAAAGGGTGGTGCAATCAACTTCGCCACGTCTTCCCCATTCAAGCTAAGAATGTAACCCGAATGTGAGAAGCTGGCATGCGACTTTTCGTTCCCATTCTGAGCTCGAATTACTACCGTCACCTGAATTTCCAGAACACCCGCATAATCAAGCTGTATCCGGTCTAGGCGAGCGTTTATGACGCTAACGTAAGGCACCCTGGGATGTATAACTACGTATCCTAAGAAGGTAATAATGCCGGCGATGATGACTGCTAAGGTGAGGATGGTGCAGATGATGGCAGCACACCAAAGTAAGCGATGCGTCCGTCGTTCATCATTACCCGATGAGAACTTTGGATTTGAGGGCATTGGATTGGGGGCCGATCGATGACAACATTCGGAGGATTTATTTGCTTTCGGTTTTTGCAAACACATTATATATATATGTAGGGGCACTAGTGGAAGGTGTGTTGAAGGTGTTGCTCTCATCTGTTTTAGGCTTCTCAAGATTGGCAAGGTATAGAATTAGCTGTAATTGGTGGGGAAGGTTTTGGCATCTACCTTTCCTACATTTAAAGCGTGCATTTTCTCTTGTTTTCATTTTTTATTATATGTAATAGCATGAATAAACCAATGTATTAAGGAATCTGATTTAAGGCCACTTTTATGTCGAACTATAACCTCCCCCACCCCAAAAAAAAAAAAAAAAAAAAGAAAAACCTAGCTTAACTTGTCAATACCTAAGTCTCCTCTCTTCCCACATAAACCCGGATCTATGCATAAATGCAATATCGCTCATCCATCAGTCTATCTATATATGTATCTAAAAAGTAACCATAACATGAAAGATTTATGTTAATTATAATAAGGCAAGCAATAGCATCTTACCTTAAAATGAAATAAAATTATTTTAGAAACTGCGTGGTCTGCAATTAATAATGCCATGTTGATGTTGCAGAAATAAAAAGAGAACAAATCTCTGGGGCATCTCCGCTCTCTGACATATATTTTTGTGTTTTTCTGTATTGGTGGAAAATACATGCATTAGCATTCCATCACCTGATCAGTTTTCAAATAAATACAATCCTGTAACTTAGTATAATATCTCACACCCATTTTAAACCATTTTCAAAAAGGAATAAATATAGAGAACCAACTCATAAGCTAGCTACTTCATCAGGTATCCACCATTAATTGCTCATTTCTATCTGCAAATAAGTTTCTTCAATGCATTCAGCACTTCCATTCTCATCCACATCACTTTTGGTTACCTATAGTATTGAGGTGCCATTCACATAATTCACTCTCACAAAAACTTCCCCATGCCTTGAACAGTCCACTGATCAGCCATCCAAAAACAAAAATGATGGTGTGCAAACTCAAAAACCAGTGCCTGATGAGGTATATATTTCTCCAAGTAATCATCATGATAATTACGATGACATTAATTCAACTTTTGCTACTTGTTCAGTCAAACAGTTAAAATGAATCTCTACAGCAATTTCCGATTGACGAAATATCATTTGGAACCATCCATGTCTTTAATTAGCATCGTCAAGCATCAACTTTCCGCACATTCATGTTGTCAAAGCTTTGCAGAGTAAATGGCAACACATTTATGTAATTTAATTATGTGTTTTAATTAGTCAAAATACAATAAAAACGTAAGTGTCACCAAAAATACAAGTCAATAGATGCATAGCCAAGACACATAATGAAAAAGTTAATGATAATAATAGGATAATTTGACCACAGAGTCTAGTGATTAAAGGGAAAAGATAATTTCAAAAGCAAAATACATAGGATATGGAAAATTAATAAAAGAAAATTGATAACCATAGGCACGTTGGTTACAAGTTTCAACATAAATTCAAGATTGATAGTTTGGATTAGAGATTTCTCAAATCAAGGCTTTCTTTAGCAAAGCTAGAAATATTGTCTACATCCATTTTGCTCCAACAAACCATCCACCACCAACTCATTAACTAAGAACCCCAAACGAGATAAACCAATACAAATAAAAAGAAAGTAAATGCAAAGAGAGATATATTGAGAGGATGTATCCATCAATGTTAGAAGGGGAAAAGATGCCATCGTCAAAGTCACCATTTAAAGAGAATGTTTGGTATTGTCAAAGTTATAATAAACAGGAGAAGATGCTGGTGGCAATGATACAACAAGATCAGCAACCAAAAAGTTTTCAAATGGACAACATCCATGTAGAATGGAAGTTTTTATCATCTTCCCTTTGATTGTTATCATATTGCAAGAGAAAAGACACTAGTGATCGTGAAACAGCAAGATATTAAGAGAGGCAGAGGAATAAAGATATAAACTGAAAGACAAGAGAACTAAGATGGTTAGGGAGAGAAAACAAAACAGAGACAAAGAGTTATTATGAAATAACACCTCTCAAGGCATTCTTTCTAGCGAGTACTTTAGTACTTGCTTAAAATCCTTCAACATTTAATTTAATTTTTTTAAGTACAAAAAATTTGAGATCCTTTTTCAAAATAAATTCCATCATAGAATGCATTTTTAGACCTTATGCCGTTTCAATCAACAAGTGCAACTCTTGAAGTGATTATGCATTTAAAATGTGCATATATCGCCACTCATAGGACCCAAAATCAAATACTATAACTTTCGAATTTGAAATGAGTAAAGTGCACTAGGCTACTTGTCTAAGGCATTATCAAATAAACTATCATTCTCTCGATCCTCATATGATTCAAAATTTGAACTTTTGCTAGCTTAATGTCAACGAGTTAGTCAATTTTCTTTTCACATGCCTGCTATTATACCAAAAAAAAGCCAATGTATACTCCCAATTGCAATATTGCATCTAGCATTAAATGAATAATGAACAAACTTAATTGAAGAAAATAATGCATAACAATAAAAGAAGCAAAAATGAATAATGAACCAACCCTTCATTCCCAAAGTAGGGACAGTCACCTAAACTTGATAGTTTAAAGGAGGAATCATTGTATTACTTCTTAGACATGCAGATTTTGGAAAAAAAAAAAAAAAAAGCAGTGACATGAAATTCTTTGGTAACGTTTCCAAATAGGAATAATAACTGAAAATATATGCAAATTTCATAAACTCGATTGAGCAAATATTATCACAAAGACAAAGAAGAAGAAGAGTCGACTTAGATATAATTATCTAGTTATTTTGGTGATTGTGTCACGGATCTAAAGGTGAGTCATGAATCCCACATTGAACATAATAGGAAGGTCACTGGGATATAAAAGGGTTCACACCATCTCCTCCTTGTGAGGCGCCTTTTGTAGGACAAAACCGTGAGGTCAAGGGAGTCAGAGCGGACAATACCTCACAAGGGTGTGAACCGTAACGGAAGGCTGATCTGGGACGCCAGAAGGGTGAATGCCCAGGTCCGGGAGCCGCACGGGTTCGGAGCTTAAGTCTTGACCTGTGACAAGTGGTATCAGAGCCAACCTTAAACCGTTCGATCCCGTGACAAGTGGTATCAGAGCCAGTCCAAAACCGTTCGATCCACGTCAAGCACCTCGAGGGAGGTAAGCAGGGTGGCCAGCCTTCGTGACGAAGGCGTCACGAGATTAAGTGTGGGAGAATGTCACGGACCTAAGGGAGAAGTCTTGAATCCCACATCGAACATAATAAGAAGGTCACTGGAGCATAAAAGGGTTCACACCATCTCCGCCTTGTGAGGCATCTTTTGTAGGACAAAACCGTGAGATCAAGGGGTCAGAGCGGATAATACCTCACAAAAGTGTGAACCGTGACGGAAGGATGAATGCCTGGATCCCGAAACCGCACGGATTCGAAACTTAAGTCTTGACCCGTGACAATTGCGTTGTCATACAATTAATCACCGAAAGTTCAAAAGTCATTTGGGTCACAACATCCAAACTTCAGTTCAGAAAAGCAGCAAACAAAACCAAGATTAAAAGGGATTTTGTAATCACACAAAAGACGGAAGCAAAGGAAGAAAAAAACAAACCAACAAGGACAACACACTTGGGGAAAGAGAGCAACTGCCATATCACACTGCAGACAAGGTGATATCATAAAAAAACACAAGCTGCTTTTACTGGAAAAGATTTATTTCGCCAATGACTACCACAGCTCTACATGTTATCAAAATGAGAAGAAAAATGTAATGTAGAAACTTATATATAAAATATGTGAAAAGAAATTCATATCATTACATTTGCACAGCCTTCCATCTACTTGAAAGACTATCATACTTATCTCTAAAACTTCCGCCCTTTTTGTAGAAAACATTCTTCAATTTCGCCATAGTCAAATCAAATATGTTTATCCTTCTATCAAGCATTGTTTCGGCAAACCTTTTCACCTCTACCAACCTACCCAAGTTAAGAAGCCCAATGAGTGACTGATTTGCACTTTCCTCAAGAGGTGAGACACAATTCTCAGCCATGTAGTTCCACATATCAATTGCCATTTCAGGGTCATCATTCTCCAACAATATCTTAATAGCAAGAACATAATTAGAACTCGTTGAAGGCAATGATCATCTCGACAAAGAACTTTCCCAACTTATGAACCCTCTTATTACTCACCAAGCATTGAAAAATCATGTTGTAAGCCAAAGAATCAGGCAAAGCTCCAGGGAACACCATCTCATCAAGGAACCAAACGGCATTATGCACATCATTGTTGTTGCATGCCAAACCAATCACTGCATTGTACACAATCAAATTGAGCAGCAGCCCGCCACCGACCATTGCATCCCACAAGGGAACAACGTGGATTGAGTCATTCTGCTTGACAAGAATATCAAGAGCATTTGAGAAAATTTCAAACCTGGTAAGCAGTTATGTCCATTCATAACTTGCAAGAACTTGACGGCCTCATCAACATGTTACCCATGAATAAGCATGGTAAAAAATGCATCATAAGCAGAAATATTCTTTGGACTCCACCCAATTCTGACCACCATCTCGCCAAAAGTGTTCTTGGCCTTAGCCACATTGCCTTCTTTCTCCCACCGTTCAGGCAAAATGGCGAAAGTATCCCCATCAGGTGGGATCTTAATATTGATACTATCAAAAAACTCTATTGCAACTGACATCTGATTGTCCTCGAGGCAAATTGCACTGAGAAGCGAATTTAATGCAACGACATCTTGTTGTAAACTGTATCTATCCATGACATCAAAACTCATGGTAGCATCACTAAATCTATGCGCAGTACAATGGCTACTGGAAACCGAAAAATATTTTGCAATTCAAAGAAGACCCTCTTGCTTCATGGAGCGCAAGGCATCCCACATGGGTTCGAAGCTTTGATTCTTTCCAAGCAAATCGACCATGGGATTCCAGGCATAAGCAGAGGGCTTGACGAAGCGGACAGCC